CATACACAGAACTTTACAAAACAGTGCTTGCAATTTTTGCACTCTTCAAAAATAGATTTACAGTAATTTTAAAGTTTTTTGCTGCACAGCAGAATTGCTCATAGTTTTCTGTTAAGTACGTGTAAAAGCATAAATGTGCTCATCACATTCAGTTGAAGAACAGAAAAATGTGTATATTCCTGTACTGTATGTCAACATAGTTTGGAGTTGCACAAATCTATTTATTTTGTTTTTATGAAAACAAAAACCTTCAGTAGTTATCTGATTAGATTAATGCAACATGGTCAGATTAATACTGTATATATATTCATTATTTTCACTATTTTTCAGTCTATAAATTGATAGACAGGGATAGAATTGTAATTTAAGAATATAAGACAGGCATTAGTTGTGAAATGTCCCTTACCGTATTATATGACAATCTGTGGAACCATATGCAGTGCCTTTCTAAACTATTAAGACCTTTGTGCAGTTTGCAAATTTAGATACTCAACATTTTCAAATCAAAAAAGAAAGAAGTGAATAGATAATTAAGTGAAAGAAAAATGGAAAAAATCAGTTTTGCATAAGTATTCAGTCTTTTACTGAGACAAACCTAAATTTAGGCACACAAAATTACCTTACCAAGACACAACTAGTGTGTACAAATATAGTGGTTCTCATGATTACAGAATAAACACACATTTCTGTGAGGTTCCTTGGTCAGTTAATGAATTTCAAGCAAAATCACCACCATGAGTATTAAAGAGCTTTCAAACCAAATGTGGAATAAAGTCTTTGAAAAACACAGAACAGGAGGAGGATATAAAAACAAAATCATTGAAGTCCCTTAATACTCCTGTGAGCACAGCTGACTCAATCACAAAGAAAAGGACAGTGCATGGTACCACCCATACACTGCCTAGATCAGGCCATCCTCACTACCTGAGGGAGGCTTCTGAGAGGTTTGGACAGCTTTGAAACAGCTACAGAGTTCAATATCTCAAATGGGAGAAAATGTCCATACGTCAACAACATCCCCATCAATCCACAAAGCTGACCTTTATGGCAGAATGGAAAATAACATATTCAAGTAATGATGCAAGCATGTGGCCAAGGTTTCACAGTCAGAGAAGACAAAATCTGAATTTTTTGTCTTATTGCTCAACATTATATTTGACACAGACCCAACACGGCACATCCTCCAGTCAGTGCCATCCTTACAGTCAAACATGGTGGTGGCAAAATTATGCTGTGGGGGTGATTCTACACAACCGGGACTTGAAGACTTGATGAAATTGAAGCAGAAATGGACAGAGCAAAGTGCTGGAAAAACTGGAGGAAATCCTGTTTCAAACATTTCAAACTGGTGAAAATTCACCTTTAAAGCAGGACAGCAATCAAAAGTTCAAGGCCAAAGCTATATAGAAATGGGTTAAGAATAAGGACGTGAGTTGCCCAGTCAAAGTCCTGCCTTAAATCCTCTTGAGAATCTGTGGAAAGACTTAAAAAGTGCTGTTTTAGTCATTCCCAAGCAACTCGAGAGAGCTTGAGCAAATCTGCCGACAAGAATGGGCAAAAATATCATCAAGCCAATGTACAAAGACAGTAGAGAACCAGAACACCTTGCAGCTTGTTATTGCTGCCAGTGGTGCTTCCACCAAATCTTTGAGTTAATTCAAATATTGAATGAATAATTATGTAATAAGCAGTCTTTAGTTTAAGCATTCATGTATGTATCATTTTGTCAAAACTTCCATAGGAAGGCTCTGAATACTTTTGTGAGGCACAAACCTATGGATATAGGGTATGTAATTATTTTAGACTGTATCTTTAAAATAGACCCAAATATACCATACATATACACAGAAAGACACACACTATCCTCAGTAAACTTCTGAACTAAGCAGACCAACATACTGTATACCTCTAAAGTAGGCACTAGTACATTACAAATTAATTTTACTTGCTGATTAATTTATCATAGGCCTAACTGCAGTCTTAAGTGCCTACTAAAGCAGACTCTCTCACATTCACAGTGCAGTTCTCTCTCAAACTGTCCTAAAGTGTTCTCAATGTGTAATGAGACCTGACAGTCCCCCTTTCTCATTCCTTCTGGGACTCACTTGAGAACAAGACATCAGGTCAGATAAGCAGAAGGAATTGCCTTTTGCCTTTTTTTGTACTTAATAAATCGTTAATTTCCCTTTGTTATTGGGGAATTGCGATCTGCGTGCCTGCTGGGGTATCACCACTGCAGCACAACCAGCTATCCAAACATTTTGTTGAAGCTTTGGCGTCTTCCTAGAAATGGCTGGATCAATTCATGCTAGCCTCCAAGTGAGCTTGTTGAGCCAAACAGCTTCCTCTCGTTCGAAAATATTCTTTTGCTTTTAAGAAAATTAATGGAGTTATCTTTTGAGTACACCTGACTGTAGAAATGAGGTGATAGAGACCATTCAATAGAACATCTACACTGACAGAGCCCTGGTTTGTTAAAATGACCCTGTCCAAAACAGCGGATATATATGATGTATGATTTTCCCAGTGTATTTTTTTGCCTGAAGTATAAATATCAGCCTTTTCATCATGTGCTGCATACTGCACAAGGCCAAATGCTATCTAATAAGTGTTTCATTTCCAAAGTATTATATCTAGTTGGTAGTTATTTCTGATATGTTAGGGCAGTGTAAGTCTGCTTTAGAACCTTACTTTTTAGAACATCTACCTTCCCCTTCTCTCTCCGAAATGTCTTTGTGTATTATAATTATTATAATAAATCTCGATAGCATTCAGATATCTCTTTTCATCCCAGAAACTCCCAAGGCCCTTTAAATACAGGAGAGGGCCCTTTATAGCCACCGCTGAATTGTGGCAGTCATTTGGAGCCAGCATCACAACTACACAGAAAATCAGGTGGAAAGGTGATGAACGGTGTCATTAAAACATTAAAACATAACTGCTGTCCCAGCCTCAAGGTTTCTCTCGGATTTCCAAACGAATCCCTGAGCAATTCCGTACATGCTCATTGTATTCCAGACAGAATTGGCAATGGAAATTCTAAACCAACCGAGTTAATCTCCATTATGTAGAGAATCATTTCTAAGTAAACATTATCAACATTCATCAAGATTCAGGGTTTTCCAGTTATGTCTGTCTGTGTTTGACGTTATGTTCTAATGCAACCAACTCCAGATGACCTTCTTCAATTAGTAAAAGAATACTAATAAGTGACCGGTATAGGCTGATTAAAGAAAATTAGTGGTTTTTCTGGGATAAGCCTTTTTTAAGCAGCTCATACTGTGCTTTTACTTTAACCCTTTTTATTAAAGCAGACAGAATGACCGCATGAAGAGATTTAGAATGGTACTCATTACAAAAAAGGCATTCTTCACAGACTGAAGAACTAAAAAGAAACAAGAACGTTTTTATGTTTATTTTTACATGTTGATTAAATTAAATGGGCAGCACAGAGGCCCTGGGGCCAAAGGATCAATTCCGGACCTGTGATTCTATCTGTATGGAGTTTGTATGTTTATGTGGGTTTTCTCCGGGTGCTCTGGTTTCCCCCCACACTCCACTGACATACTGGTAGGTTAATTGGCTTCTGGGTAAATTGGCCCCAGTGTGATTGTATGTGTATCTGTGTTTTTGTCTGTCCACTGTGTGATGGATCAAATGGATGGATGGAGCAAACTCAATTCTTGTTTTTAATTGGTGATTTATTTTGAAATACCCATGAACTATAGTGTGTGGTGATTAGAGCAATGTGGTTGTTCTGGAAAAGGCAAAGCTCAAGTAATATCAAATCACAGACTAGCTGTGCATGATAAAATAAGAGCAAGTAGAAACCTAGGAAATGAATTTGCAGATTACATACTGTATTTTGACAATGCGGTCAGGCTTATTCTGCCACTCAGTGAATACTCATGACACCCTTAATTGGATTGGCCTGACCTTTTACCCTCAAGCAGGCAGTCCTGAGTGGGCATGTTGTAGCTACCCACACAGAACACAGGAGAATGGCACAAGGGGTAATTGCTTGCCAGAACAGCCCAATCCACAGAGGAAAGAGAAGCTCAAGCATTTTAAAAGAGAATTTATCATCACTTAGTATGATTGATTCATCTCACAGAAGACTTTAGTCTGGCTTTAACCCTACTCACCTGTTCTTCTGGGCTAGATAAGCTTACCAACAGTGGTACCTAGATGCTGCTGGTGGCTTTGACTGCAGGAAGGAATTAATTACAGAAGCTTGATGAATTATATAATCTGCACCTTGAAATAATTATACACACAGTCCCACTTGTGAAGGATTTAGCTGTGACACCTTTTTACCTCTCATGTCATTTTGTAAACTCATTTGCAGGATTTGTTTTTGCTGGAAAGTTGGCAAAGCAGATGTAATTGGAAACATCAATATAGAATGATGCATAAAATATGGAACAAGAGGCAAAATAACCGTACATTATGACTCTCTCAGTCCTTTTAAAGTGTACATCTACAGCAATTGAATTTGAATTGTAGTCTTTTTTAAAACTATGGGCAAACCACACTTGGCGCACAAATTACATTTCCCTTTTGAATGTTTTTCCATTCTTTTATAAACAGAGATTAACTCAATTAATGTTACAAGGCTGTGAGATCAGCTCCTTAGGATTTTCTTTCTTTAGGTATACATTTTTATTATCACAGATTTGCCAAACACGATTGGGCATGCTCTGAGAGGCTCTCAGCCTGTGAGTAAGCAGACAGACAATGTTCGTCTGTCGACAGTGACGGGTTGAGCCGGGCTGTGAGGGAGGGCGCGCTGGGAAAGATGGATTTTCCGGGAGGAATTTTTGTGTTCATTGAAAAACAAATCACTAAGCACTATTGTAAAAGATATTTTGGAACTGACATTGGCAAAGATGGCTCAGGTGGCGACATTGAATGGGTTTCTGGTAGGAGACAAATCTACAGTAAATGCCACTGTACTTTTAAGGCATTGAAACTGCTTCTCTCTCCTCTTGTGTCCCTCAGAAGGAATGAACTGTATGAATAAGAACCATGGCTGTGCACACATCTGCCGAGAGACGCCCAAAGGAGGCATTGCCTGTGAGTGCAGGCCAGGATTTCAACTCACCAAGAACCAGAGAGACTGCAAATGTAAGTGTCCCTCCACACCCACCTCTGACAGGCTTGATTCCAGTAATCACAATATAATTCACCACATTATGTGACTCTTAACAGCTATTGTTTGAACCACTTTGTTTCTAATAAATGCAGTTTTATATTCAGGATTGCAGTATGGCAATTGAAGCTTTAACAGTTTTCAAACAGTGCTGTTGTGCTGTGGGACTATGAAGCCTTATATATCTCTTGCTCAGTTTGTTTTCTGGATTTTGAGTGCATGTACACACACGTACATACATTTACTATAGTCATTCTTTTCAAGAACAAGATTTGTGTTTTAACTTTTTTTAAATTCTTACCATTAGTGATATACAGTAAGTGCTCATCATCAAACTTTCCCTTCTGTTATTTTGATTAATCACCTGTATTATTTATTTAAGAACATTAGCCCACCCAAAGCAAATGTACAGGAATATAGACTGGAACTGAAATGATACAGTAAGCAAAACAATCACCACCCATTATGTTTGATGTCTTTGAAAGACAGCAGAGGGTTAGACTGTGCATGATGGTAGGAGTTTGAATAGAGCCTTTACATTATCTTTATTCTCAGTGCTCAGAGATGGCTGTAACTTTTGCATGATAATTTAATCAGCCTATGAATCTGTTTAAGACATGGGAGCAGTTTATGTTAGTTAACTGGGGAAAATCAGTTATTTTCTGCTCGGAGATGGCCATTGTAGTTAGTAATTGAAAGTTAAGTATGCTATGTTTCTATCATTAACACACAGCCTGAACCACATGGAAGCAGCATGTGTTGGGCAGTGTTATTACCTGCACTGCTTATACTGATCCAGTTCTCTGTTAGTGTTTTGTCAATGATTCTGAGGCATCCTGTGAGCAGCCAGATGGTGGTTCATGTTGGCAGCCCTCTTTGCAGTCACCAGTACTAAATCCACATTGGTCTACCCAGAATGAATCTTTAGGGAAGCAGTATGAGGTCAGTGTGGTTAGGTGACCTGGGGGGAAGAGGTTTGTGGGCTGAAGGTGAAAGCCAGTAGACTCTAATCATAGTCTTTCTACCCATCTCCTTTCCACTGCCTTCCAGGGTAAGTCTGCTTGTTTTAATTCAGAATAAGTCAAGGGGGCTTTTTCTGTGTTTGGATAAGGATTGCAAAAGTGTTATTCTACATTTTTGCAAAGGCCCAGGAAAAGAGAAAGGGGGAGTAGGGCTATAATTTACACATTGTTCCCCTTCTGTTGCTGCAGGTGTTTTTATAGACAGTGGATTGTTGGCATAGCTCCCTCCCCAGGCTGGAAAAAGCTCTTTGTCCTCTACACTAACATATACTCAGAGCGCTTGTGTTTTCAGATCTACAGCATGCATTCATAGCCAGTGCTGGACGTGCTGTTCCAAATAAAAAATAGTATACTGTAAATATGTCACTGGGCTCTTTGTTTGATTTCAGTTATATGAAGCCAAATGTGTATATTTAAAGCCCCGATTTAGTTTCATGAATTGTTCTTCTTAAAAGCAGTTCACACATATACACAAAAGTAAGTTTGTATGTATTTGATTTATATGGAGTTGAAGATAGAGTATAGACAAGGAGTTGTTTCACAGGTTTGCACACACAGAACAAAGCACAAGATTGTATTCCTCAAGCCTGATCTTACACATACATATGTTTCAAACAGAAAGGTGTGGCCCGCCTTCCTGTCTTGGTTGCTCATGAAGTCTGTTCTCTGGGATCAAGTGACCTTACAATGCAGCACATATTACCCCCTGTCTTGCAGTGACTTGTAACTATGGCAATGGGGGCTGCCAGCACACCTGTGAGGACACCGACCAAGGGCCCAAGTGCGGCTGTCACATGAAGTTCGCCCTGCACTCTGATGGCAAGACCTGTGTAGGTGAGTCAGTTCTTATGGCTGGGGGGGGCTAAGGACTTTTCAGATGATTCTGTCATTCATTTTTCATTTATCAGAACACAGACTCACCACTAGCTGCTTTCTATTCTTCAGTATCAGTGGGTGGGGGCAGGTTGGGTGTTCTTCCATAAAATGGCACGTTTAAAGTTCCTTAACCCTTTAAAATCAACTGACGCACACGCCACATAACTGTGACTGTGATCACAAATTCATCAAAGATTTTCATAGAACAATATTGGCCATCATCCTAAACATAAGTTTTGCATTCCCTATTCCGATATTTTACCTGTTTAGCACCAAAATGTGGATGGCCAATTCTATGTGTCACTCTACAATAGCCATTCATATTACAGTATATGCTTTGTCTTTTTTAGCTGCAAATCCACTTTTTTTTCTCAAATGAATGATCCCGTTTAATACATGTCCGCTTAGCGAAGGTGAGTGGCCTAAAGCTGTCAGAATGCACTTTCATAGGATGCCATTTCTGGTGTTAAACCCAACCTCCTCCCATAAATCCACCGTACATTCTGTAAACTGAATTGATGAGATTTTATTTGAAACACATCCACAGACGTAGTTATGTAAATAGTTGTAATTAACCAAAGACAATCCAAGATCATTTTGAATAGCCAACATGTAATATACGTCAAGGTGTAAGCTTCAACATCACTGCATTTTCTACACAATAATGTTGGATACAGTCTTTGTGTATGGGGAGTTCTATGGTGTCCTCTGCCTTTACCAATCTCTAATTATGATGCTTCACTACAGCTTTCTTTTTGCTTTGCTTCATTAGTCCCTGCTTTCTCTGCATGTGATCTTTTGCTAGATCACTAAAACAGCAGTTTGGCACTGTAGCTGAGAGAACAGGGTGCTGTCATGCTTCACCAAGGGAGTGCTAGTACATGGTCATTTCATCCAGAAGTCACCACGGGCCTGTGAAGTATAGAGTTGAAAAGTGTGGTTGGATTCCCTTTTTTTTTGCAGTGTAGGTGCTATACAACATTAGATTACCAATGAATTTCGGCCTTTACTCTCCTGTTTTCAAGAGTTTAGAAGTTCAGGTTTCAGTAAGTTTAAGTTATAACCTTGCCTCGGGGCATCACAGGAGCAGGATCCAAACTGATTTTCATTTGACATGGCTGGATAGCACAGCACAACTCGAAGATTATGAATACACAAAGATTCACACCTCAGCTTCAGAGAGCAGCCTAGAGCAACACAGATCCCAGAGAGATTCCAGAGAAGCGCTGAAACATTCTCTACAGTCTCACTTTGGGCTTTGAGTCACCAGCCTGCAGTGCCATTCTGGGGAATCAGCTGTCCACTTTGCAGTTGGATGCCTCGTGGTGCTGCTAATTAGTGGCCTTAATAGAGCATCCCGTGTTTGAGATGATTTTTTCAAAGCTAAAAAAAACACTATATAAATAATAACTTTTTGTGTAAAAGTAGGGCATGCATTTATTATTATTTTGAACATTTTAAAAAACAACAACAGCAAGTAAATGAGTTGCTTCAATTAACAGCTTGACGAAAGCTGTGTCTTGAAGGACCCACTGAGAGTGTGAATAATGAGCTAATCAAAGCAGGCTACTGTGCGCAGCAGCTCTGGAGAAGAGAGAGTGGAGTCCGAATAAACTGTCGAGAAAAACAGACTTCCCCAAGTGTGAACACTTCTCATCAACAAGTGCAACGTTTGCTTTCTCCCATGTGCAGGCACTGCTGTGCCTGCAGAAAGCTGACCCTGGCTGATGGTGTGTTTGGAATAAATTAGCACATTGTACATGTGCTGAATGCGGTCACAGCCGCCCCAGGGCTGGGGAGAAGGGGGCGCTGGGGGGGGGACTCATAAGCATCCGTGTTTAAGTTGGCAGGGAGGGGGTCCCCAGGGGTGTACACATCCTCTTTGATTACTGTGTGCCGGATCATTCTTGGGGCGGGGTCCAAAGCTCAGCCTCTCTCTCTGGTGGTGGGTAACTGACTTCCCTGAGCCAGATGCGAAGTGCGCATTGCATGGCATCAAGCTCGTTCGGCGAAGTCTGCATAATACACTACACAGAGCACACTGAACACAGAACCGACTTTTTCTAAGCTTCTCTTGCCCACTTATATGCCTTCATTGCAATCGTTGCAAATCCTACTATGTACTGTCTAGTACTTTAGTCTCTCTTTAGAATACAAAATGTGTTCAATTTGCGTAGTTTCTTCCTTTCTTGGCTGCCATTCTTCCAAGCTTTACTGTGATTCTTCAGTTGATTCTTAATGCCCTTGCTATGCAGTCTAGTACAGCTCACCCTGCCCAGCCCCACTGAGGGTTTTCTGTGTCAGTCTTCTTTTTCAAAGAAACAAAGGACTTGCAAACGTTTCCAGATTGGTCTTTATTCAATTAAAATGCATCAATATCAACAAAGTTCAAGTTATTTTACAATCAGTTCTATTTTAGAATATAATAGAAATGAAACTGCACTATTTCTGACAGGATGACCTTTTCTTAAACGCTTTTGTAGATGATGTAGAATTTTACGGAATGACCTTTCAAGATGATATAAAGCATCCAGACACATAAAAAAAGAATTGACTTAATGTGTTTCAAATGATCAGACTAACAGAGAAATCCATCCAGTTTCTAAGCCTTGCCCTTAATTTCCATTAGCAACGCTGCAAAACTCTCTCAGGGCAGAGTTCCAGTGTGTTTGCACATACGTTTCCGTAAAGTAAGAAACTAAACAAAACCAAAAAAAGTCATCATGTGGAAGTACTCAAGCTGTTAGTGCAGCAAATCGTAAACATCCCCAAATAGCAGGCAGATGCAGAGTTGCACAGAATCTCTGATCCTCGTAAATTAACCACACACACACCATACACACACACACCTCTGCACACAAAAATGTATACTTACACACACAAGCACCCACACACTGGTATACACAAACCCAGACCCGCAACTGAACTGCTGGGCTCACTATGCATCTCTAGGGGCAAATATGTATGTTTCTCACTGAAGCTTTTTTGTAGATCGAAGGTAGACAGCTGTCACATGTCACGGTTAGGTAGGATCTTTGATGTCAACTTAAACAGAACTCTTTGGCCCGCCTGCTTGTCAGAAAAGGGGCTGGTCATGGGCACAATTCTGTGTGCATCCATTAATTGCATAAACATCATCATTACTGTTAACACCCCGATGATATAATGCCGCTGTAAAAGAAGTGCTGCTTTTCAATTACTGAACTAGAAAAGTGTTTAGATCACAAGCTGTTTTCACAGCTCAAGACACCAAAATTATCAACCGTTGGACTGGCTTACTGGCAAAGCTGACCTGGAATAGAGTCCATCCAAGACATGGACGTCTTTAGAAAATATGCTGTAAAGAATGAGCAGCCTGAGGAAACTACTGAGGAGGCCGCTGTATTTTGATGTGCTATGGTTTCTAAATGTCCTCTGTAGCTCACTGCATCCTGAAGATCAGTAGTGCCACGTACAGTTTGTAATGATACAGACTCCTTTGCTGGGGTACAGCCTTTGCACTTGACGTTCCGTAGCCATCCATGAGTGAAATTCCCTCAGTCCCAGGGCTGTTCTGGCAGGTTAGGAGCAGCCATCACTCCTGTCCTGGTTTAACCCTGCAGCACTCAGCTTCATCAGTTCTGTGAATCCCTGCTTGCATTCATCAGTGTTACGCTTCTGTGATCTGGCTCTGGGTATGATTTCTCTGTTTTTCTTTTGTCCTTTTTCTTAGCTGACCATGCGCACAGCTGTGGCCTCTCTTCTCTTCTGTTACTAACAATACCTTGGCTTGTATTCGTAGTTTTTGCTTAGAATTTAAACGCTTACTATAATTCAGTGATTGTTTCAATTCTATGAGCCAGCTGTTTGTGCACAGACCTGAAACAGCTGACTCTTGGGGTTTTTTTTCCGTGGTATTATACCTATTGAAAGCCTTGCGTCACGTTTTAAAACCTCTCCCATATTGAACCAGTTACATCATGTGTGTCTAGGCTTCACCGTAAGCCAGGGAAATGCATGCTGATGTGCAGTGTGTAACCAAGTGATAAATGAAATGGTTTTATCTAACATAGGTAATGTAGGCAATTTCACTGTCTGCAGATAAGAACGACTAGGTTTTTAATAAGTATGTCTCAAACACACAAGGAGAGCACATTCAAGAGAGCTTTTCATTGGGCTAAAGTAGTGTTCATTGTTAATGGGACAGCATTTTTACTTTATTTCTTTTTTAATTTGATGACAGAATGCAGCTGAATAACAACTGAGTAACAACTCAAGACCATCGTTGACACATAGCTGGTCACAGGTTTTCACTCAGCATAGTGTATTTGCTGCTCTTCCTTGAGCTGAACAGAACTGGCGCAGGAGATGGTTGTTTGTGATCTCTTTTTTAATTAAAACATTTAGTCCTATGCCCAGGTGAAACTCTAGCTGAAGTACATTTGAGTAAAGATAAACAGACATACCACAGATGATTTTGATGTGTAAGTGTCCCAATAATTTTGAGCACTGCTTCACCATATTCCGCAATCTTACTGAGCTCTCAACAGTGCTACAAATTCATTCTCTTTATATATAAGAAAAGAGCTCAATTCATAAAAAGTATAGTAAAATCAATAAAATGATTTTGTAGAGATACTGATATGCATTCATTTTCATACTTAAATATGAAGCCTCTGCCAAGTCAAATTACTTTTAAGATACTATTTTTATCAGATATTTTTACCATATTGCAACAGTGTTAAATTTAACATGTACAGTATCCTACATAGATCCATAGTGAATATTTTATTTAGAATGTTGAGAGATTGGCGGGATCTTTTTTCCCGGTTTCCATGGCAACTCTCAAGCACTAAACCGGTGTTTTTATAATGTGTGCAGGGGAAAGAAGTGTCCAGCAGCAGGCAGCCCCACAGCTGTTACCCAATGGTAAATATGTCTGTTCCCTGGCTTGGATGTGATTGAACTGTAGCCTTGGCGTCCTGACTGTCTGTCTGTGAGGGTGTGCAGAGGTACAAGAACTGAGGTTCAGCCGTTTTCCAAGGTGTCTCCTACCTGTGCCCCAACTCTCCTGGGTTCCTTTGTGAATGCTGTGTCATGTCTGTCACTCTTTCTCCTAGACACACTCTCATCCAGCACGCATTCCCGTACACACTGCCCACTACACCCTGATCATCTGGCTAATGCCCTTGGACCTCCCCTCTTTACCTATATGTTTCTTCAGTTTTGCTGCAAGGGTGTTCAAAAAAGTACCATGTCAAATTTTAAGAACAAATCCCTCTTTAATGTTTTTACTAAAGAAACTACGAGTTCAGTTAATATAGAGACTTACTCCCAGATCATTTCTGCCGCACAGAATTTAAGGGTCAATCTCTTTTTTACAGCTCTGGTCCAACCCTTTCTTTTTGTGTCTGCGTTGGCCTTTTGAAACTTTAACTCAGAGCGTTTTATAAGCACATTTTCCACAGCAAGTAAGTGTGTATCCTGATGTCCCTATGCACTAAGGGCCTTTAGGTCATTTGTGATATCATTTGACAGCATTGAGATACAATCCTGGACTGCAATAAGCTTTTATCTCATTATTCTGGAAGCACAGACCCATAAGACTATTGCTTAAAACTCTGAGTTTATCTGTCCAGCTGAATTCAATATCAGGACCCAGGAATGTCAGTGGAAAACAACATTAAACCCAGTCAAATCAGCCTTCCTGGACAAAGACAGAAAATCTCTTTAGTACAGCACTCCTAATTCTGTACTAAACATAAAAATGACTTAAATAACAAAACTCTAGTATTGTTAAATTTTCCAGTTCAGCAGAATCACACATTTTCTTGTCTTAATAACCAAATAATATGTTTTAATATATAAATATTACCATTGTGGATTATGGAATTAAAAAAAACAACTGAATTGAGTGTATGTATTACACATGAGATCTAAGACTAATAGCAAGTAAATGCTTGTATAAAATGTTATTACTGTACATCAAAATGATGCTTTATGAGTTGAAATTGAAGGCTAAACTGATGTAAAGACTATCAGAAACCTGGCAGTAAGCATTCACTAACCAAGTCATTTCTTACAAAGGTGCTCTGAACAAATGAATAAATGTTCTAAAGAATGACCTTGGCTGATTTGGGGCCTTATGCAAAGAAGGGACCTTGTTCAGAATAGGTTTTATTTAGAATAGGGGACTCACCTGCACCATCTCCCTGGATTTCAAAGGTCAATAAACACAAGACCTACCCTTTCAAACTGATGCATTTTGTGAAAGTAAAAAAAAAATATATGAAGGACCGAGCTGATTTAGTATTCATTTTATAATGAAACTAGAAATGTCTCTAGAGTTTTCCATTCTCAAGAAATGCTGGCAGAAACATCAATTTACCCCCTTTAGAGTGAACACATATTATAAGCTCTCTTATAGCACAGCTTTTGTGAAGGACTGAAACAGCATTCAGAAAGGATAGCAAAATCTTCCTCCTCTAAATAATCCCAGACTAACTGCATGCTTGCTTTCAGAGGTACTTCTGAGTAAAGGATGTACAATGTACAATGTCAATCAGTACAAATCCCCCACTTTTGTGACAATCCACTTTCTCCAGGCTCTGTCTCTACTTACATGCATTGATTAACAGAAGTGGGGAAATGGGTTTTGCCATTTAGCACCAAAGCATGGCAGTTCATAGCAGGAGACCAGCTAGGAGATTTCTTTTAAATTAAAGGAAGCCTGTGAAAAACATGTCTCAAGCTACAGCAGTTGAGAAGAATAGCTCAAGTGAAACGCTGCCTTATTTTTTTTCTCTGTGGATATATCAGGTTCATTTCTGAAAGGTGTTGAAAACAAAGATTTTTAATCTTAAAGCAGCAAGTATGAAGCCCTACTAATTCCAAGGGATGAATTCAAAAAATTCCAAAATTGCATTGCAACCATTATTCTTCCAAATTGAATTGAATTCCAAAACAAAAATATCGAAACAGAGGAATTTATGTTTAATGGTGCTTATAATAGATGTTCAGGAGGAAGATTAGATCCTAGTCTCACACCCAGCACTTCCTTTTGCATATCTCTCTTGAATGCCCCCTGCCTCTCATCTACACCCTTGCGTTAAACTTTCTAGCTCAATCCTTAGGACATCTTATCTTCTTGGATGGACTGCTATTCCATTAGATGAGCGAGTCACACCAAATACTCTATACATATTTAATCTCTGTCACATTCATTAGGAACTAAGAACTAGACTACTGAAATGTCATTTAAAAATGTCATTTAAAAAAGAGCAGAATTAGCAGACTGGAGTGGTGGATCTGTGGCTAAGGATCTGCTCCTGTGGCTGGAAGGTTGCCGGTTTGTATCCTGCGGCTGGCAGAGGAATCCTACTCCGTTGGGCCCCTGAGCAAGGCCCTTAACCCCAACTGCTCCAGGGGTGCTGTACAATGGCTGACCCTGTGCTCTGACCCCAAGCTTCTCTCCCTGTCTGTGTGTCTCATGAAGAGCAAGCTGGGGTATGTGAAAAGACAAATTCCTAATGCAAGAAATTGTATAGGGCTAATAAAGCAACATTATCATCATTGTTATTATTATTATCATTAAAAAAAAAACATAAAATAGATATGCCACTGAAAATAGATATACACTGAATGTGTTTTCTGGGTTGGCAGTATTCTTGTCACACAATGTGCTTGTCACACATTATCATAATCTAAAAAATCATTCAATATCAGTAGGTTCAATGAATTAGAAAAGCTACAAAAGCAGTAAAAAATACAAACATTTGCCTGTTTTTCTGAGGGATGACAAGTATACGTACTGTACACATGATATTGAAATCCACAGTGCAGAGTCGGGCCTAAAAGGGGCACTGCTTCACTGTCTTATCTTGGTTGAAAAGTACAATGCGTTTATGTCAGTAACATCCACAGCAGACCATTGTAAAATCACTAAAACCTCAAGCCTGGGCATGCACCAAAGTGTCATTTCAATCCTTCATCTAATACAGAAGAGCATTTATAGTATATTATTGCAACAACATCATAATCTGCAAACATCGATTTAAAACAAGAAATAACAGAAGATTTTCACTAAACGTTCTAGAAATTACACTCTAGTTCAAACCTTCAATAGAAAGGGTGCATCTGTAATCTGCCTTGGCCATGTTCATTTTTTTTATTCACTGCTTACAGACAAGCCATGACAATGCCACCACTCTTCCATGGTCTGCTAAAGGCTGCCAAGTTTCACTGCCCTGCAGTGTGTAATTTTAACAAACAGACTGTGCCACTTTGGTAACGCTTCAGTTAAATGCCATTAATTGTTTTTTTTTAAGACAGCACGAATCTGTAATGAATACAACAGAACTTACAACTTTAATATGTATTAATTTCACGAATTTCTGGTCTCAGAATGGCACAAAGAAAGGTTCTCAATGTAAGCCTACTGAGCCAATTACTGATGTTTTGTTCAGCTCCCCCAGTCTAACAGTGATCTGAAAGAATTCATTAATTCTTCATGTTTGCATTACAGAGTATTGCACTCACTATTCAGTAGGTTCATCACGTAACTACTGACATTTAATTTGCAGTATTCTGAATGCCCAAAATCTTAGTAATTCATACAACCATTATTTGTCAGATAAAGGTTGAGTGAGAGAAGCTAAATGGTGTTCCATTCAGTACATCACTAGAATGAATGCTTGGTATTGTCATACCAATAAAAAATACTAATAAAAAGTAATACCCTTTTAATACCCCTTTCCCTAAACAAGAAACTGAAAGATTTCTGCAGCTGAGTATAGAATTGTAATGGAAACAAATGCGTTTTCTCATTAAATAAACTGTAATTGGAGCAATAGATGCTTAGCTAAGTTTCAGATATTTCCATTCGATTTAAATTGAAACTTTACGAGAGTTTGCATAACCTGCAGTTATTTTTATCTATCGTACAAATTGTACAGCTATTTTCACTGAGCACTCGAAGTCAGTATTGTTCACTCCCAAAAAAACAGGAATCTACTCACCAGCATAATGAAGCAAATTATTTCTTTCTAATTTAATCACATGCTTTTCAGCCTTTAATGTGTTTTAATTGTTTCTCAACACACTTCATAATATTAACATTCTTGCTTTATATTATTCCCCTAAATTGAATAGAAACTAAAATGTGATCGGTATGCACCAAGTGTAATGCATTTTTCAGGATTGTAGCCAAGACCACAGCAGTGGTAAAAGGTAATATCTATATGAAATGGTTAACTATTCAGAAATCAAAACCATTCAGTGGTGTCTTATGGAAGGTAGAATAATGACATTATCATTTCAAACCCTTAAAAACATCACAGATAAAAACTAAAAGAAAAAAATTAAAATATACATTATAAATTATTTATCACTGATGCAAGCATGTCAGAGTACAGTATACTACAGAGTACTGTACTATACAGTTTTTTGATGTAACACATGTAATTGTTTGGCCCCTGTAACACTTTCGGAAGTTTCACTAGTTTTAGACACACAAGGTGAGCCAGCGATGATGGCTGCTTTTTTGAATCTCTTAAGGTCTGAATGAAAGTTTTTATGTTAAGCGCAGGGGAAGACAACCCCTTCCCACATTATCGGTGAGCTGTTAATTATGGTAGAATATTAAATAATTAATAAACAACTGAAATACTTTGACAAGCTGAAGATACACATATTATGAGTTTGAGTCTGGGTTATGTCACTAACCGATGTGTCATTTTGTGCATCACTTCCTGCAGCTCAGAATGACCCTTGTGAGTGTATGTTACCAGTACCTTAGGTGATCACTTTGTATTGAACATTGGAAATGTTTGTCTGAAGTACTGAAAACATGTTTTGTAAAATTATTTCCCATCTTGCAATAATCCTTTCTATTTTCCTTGAGGAAATGTCCTAATGTCTTTCTTCAGCAGTGGCTGTACGTTGCTCATCCTTCTGATTTCTCCACTAAACCATTTAGGCCATATTTTCCTGGACTTGGAATTGTTTAGGAATGAATTTGAGCTTTTAACGTTGTTTCTGAAGCATCCTTCTTCTATTAACTCTGTACCCATCTGTTCCCACGTAACAGCTCAGCCTCATTCCCCCGTAATGTGCTTTTCTAAGATTTAGAACCCAACTTTAGACTCAAGCTTTAAAGATTTAAAATATACATCAATATATGCCATATTACAGTCACATTTTCCCATTGATTGCATCATATCTATCCACTCAGCCATATCCATGTTGTTTGAAAATATTTAGTCAATAGGAGCATCTCCAAAGTTGGAGTGTATGTAAACTGGGTTAAGAAGTACTCATTAACCTTTTCAACCATATCAATTTTATCTTCTATATTCCCTGTAGCAATATCCCAATTTGTGGAAAATTAAAATCTCCCTGTAACATAAATTCAACTGTAGTATATAATCTCATCATCACGTAGGCTACTTGCTCCTGTGTCTGTACTAAATTGTCTATAGCATGCACCTTTTGTTTAGTCCTTAAGAATTTCTGTTTTCTATTTTAACCTCTATAGAGTCTAAACTGCCTGTAACCTGTTGGCAAAGACCCTACAACAACAAATGGGCCTGCATGCGATTCAAAATTGTGTGCAATAAAAATAACTTAAGAAAAAAAAGCTGAAGGTACAGTACAAGCTGTATCGCAAAATAAAATATTCTGTGCTTTTCAGACAGCCTCCCCATATTACAAATGCAGCATATTTTGGGAGTACCAGATTTTATATAATAATTTAGGCAATGGAGTTAGGAGACTGATGGACGCCGTTATCTAAGAAACTGAGGCCTGTGTGTCTTGTTTCGGATTTAATGATCAGCTATCACCCTTGCGTTCATTTAAACAAAGAAGCTACATGTGTGCCTATAGATGACGGTCAGAAACATTCTATCAAATAATATTGTTAGATTGAAGAAAAACACATGCACATGAACTACGGAAATGAAATGAGATGTGAAGGCATTCAGGGAAAGGGCAGTACAGTATACAGGGTTTTGTGTCTTTTATGGCAGAACTGACAGCTCCCTTTCCTTCTTGCTGTGTCTGTTTCTCCAGAGACTTGTGCAGTGAACAACGGTGGCTGTGACAGCACATGTCATGATGCAGTGACGGGGGTACGCTGCAGTTGTCCCGTGGGCTTCACCCTTCAGCCTGACCGCAAGACGTGCAAAGGTACAGTGACATGGTCTCACTCCCCTCCCTGTAAGACATTAAAATATACAGTGACATGG